GCATAACACTTTTCATTCAAGCCAAAAAGTTCTATTTTGGACCACAGAACATTTTCTCAATAGCCGTCTGGGTTATTCACATGGTCTTTTGCAAGCTGTAGACAGGCAGCAATGTTCTTTTTGGAGAGCAGTGGCTTTCTCCTTGCAACCCTGCCATGCACACCATTGTTGTTATTCAGTGTTCTCCTGATGGTTGTCTCATGAACACTGACATTTGCTAATGCAAGAGAAGCCTTTAGTTCCTTAGACATTATCCTGGGGTTCTTTGAGACCTCCCACGCCTCTAATCTTGACCTGCAGTGTGCAGCCATTGGGTATGTGCTGTTTTGGGTGTGTTCTTTAAGTTCATGCAAGCTAATCATGAATGCTAGGTGCTTTGTCCAACTCACTTCAAAAGCTGAGTGTTATCCTGGAATTGTTTTAACATGCTGAAGCTTCTTAGTAGATGACTGTATGAGTGGGAGATTCTCCCAGATTCTACACTTTGAAAATCACCAATCCAAGCTGGCAGTATTTTCAACAGTTAGGATAACTATCCAATAACACATTGAATTCTGTGGGTATTGATGCACTTGTTACTGTTTGGAGACTTTGTAAGCCAGTGCAGAATGGAGTCACATTTGTGAGGTGGGCAGCTATATAGGTTTGATTGATAGGTAAATAAATAAATAAATATCATTAGAGCCAATTAAAACAAGGGGGGACATGTGAGACATAAGCCAGAGGTTTTCAAGAAAGCAGAGGTGTTATTTATTTATTTATAATATTTGTAGATGAGTCTGGGCAGCAAACAACAATAAAAACAAAGGAGGAACAGCCCCCAACCAGCCTCACACACACACCTTCCCAAAGGAGTCCTCCATTCATCCAAGCCCAAGGCCTTGAGGAAGAACCAGGTCTTCAAGGCTCACTTGAAGAAGAACAGGGTAAGGGCTATTCAGATCTCTGGGGAGATGCTTTTTCAGAGGTCAAGAACTGCAACAGAGAAAGCATGAGATGACATTGTTTAATGGATGGGACCTGGAGCATGACACTCTGTTTGAACAGATAAGACAGGCTGAAAACATGGGAGACAGATGATATCTCAAATAACCAGGGCCTGTGCCATCAAGGGTTTTCTAAATAATAAACAGAACCTTGAATTGCACCCAGAAGCTTACTGACAGCCAATATGGCTTGCAAAGCAGAGGGGTTACATGGGTGCCCATGCCCATTACTGTCCATGCCACCATATTCTGGACCAACTGCAGTTTCTGAGTGGTCTTTAAGGGCAGCCCCATGTGGAGTGCATTGGAATAGTCCACCTACAAGATGACCAAGACATGCGTGTCCATGAAGAAGGCCTCCCAGTTCAGAAATGAGCACAACTGTTGCACCACGAGGATCTGTACAAAGGCCTTCCTGGTTACAGCTGCCAGCTGCTCTGAGCAGGAACTGAAAGTCCAGGGAGACCCCCAAGTTGTGCACCAGTCTCAAATGGAGAAATGCAACCCCATCCAAAACTAAAGGTGGAAGTTTCCCATACCCATTGCGTTAACCATCAACAAGCACTCCGTTTCAAGGCCATAAAATACAGGGCACAGAGTCGGAAAGACAGGAAGAAAAAGCAATATATTAAAACTGCTGTGGCTTTAAGTACTATTTACTTGCTTCCTATTACAGGAACTTATACAGCCAAAAGTACCATCAATAAATAATAAATAGGCAAATGTGCTCTTTAAAATTTGCTCTTCCCATTGTCAGTTTACCAATTTAAAGCTTTAGGATTTACATTGTATGTATTTATAACATCTGTAAACTGTCCCTTTACAACAAATAATAGTAACAGGATGAGGTGACAGGTTCCCCCCCCCCTTTTAAAAAGAGAGATCACAATTCATTCTGGCTTGTGCCAAAAGCTGTCCTGTGTCTCTCAGCAGAGAGGAGAGTTAATATATTTACCTTTAATAAATAAGCTTCAACTTATCTTGAGATACTCAACAGTTTGGGGGGGGGGGGTTAGTTTGGTAGGATCTAGAAGGGTAAACAAACTAGTTGGCTGTGGCTGATGAGGTTAAGGTATTTCTTATATTTTTAAGCACGAATGCATACTTCATAGGAAGTTGTGGTTAGTCATGATTTACACAGTGAACTTTTGGCTTCTACAGTTTTTCCAGTATTACAGTGAAGGAGAGATCAAATAATTTCAGTTCCCTAGTTGATAATTTGGGTGTTTTTTTCTGTACACCAAACTTCATGAACTTGATAGAGAGTTTAGGAATGTAAGAAGAGCAGTAGTGGATCAGGCTGATGGCCCATTTAGTCCAGTGTTCTGTGACACCCATAGCTAACCAGATGTGTCCAGGAAGTTCACAAGGAAGGGCTTAAGATTGGTAACACTTCTTGAGGGCAACAATGGAAGAGTCCTATAGAAGGCAGCATGCTATCTTTGATTCAGAATGTAGTTCCCCAAACGGACAGTTTACTTTCAGTAAAGTAAAGCTTGTAATCTCTTGTAATTTCATAGATGTATCCATGCCATTTTTTTGGCAACAGTACCTAAGTGGCTTGCCGTTGCCTTCCCCAAGGGTAGATTCCCTTGTTAAGCCAAGAGCTCTGGTATTCCCAACTGATTCCCCATCCAAGTCCTAAGCAGGTACAATACCTGTTTTAAGATTAGTCAGAATTTGCTAAGTGCTGACCCCATCTGGGCACTAAAGAGAGTACACCCACTTTATTAATAAAGCCTAGGAAGAACATTTTAGAATTGTACCATTCTTCTGTTTGCCATCATGTTGGTTGTGCTATATAAGTTATGACATCCATAGTGGATAGACTTACATATATGGGAATGACAAAAGGTGGGCAGAAGGGAATAGATAAATACTGGAAAGTTATTTTTACAGTGTTTTCTGTTTAATTTATTTCTTATGTTGCATAACATAAACCAAATGTTGCTAATGCCAGAATGTTCTTTACAGCTGAGGGATTGCATTCAGAAAACTTTAAATGAATGGAGTTCAAAAATCAGCTCTGATCTGATGCAGGTAAGTGATCTTTTCATATTTCTTTAATCATCATTAATCATTTTTACAGGCATTAACCAGCACAAAGCAAATTATGAAGCAAATAAAAGATCTTTAGGCCAGATAGGTAAGATTAAATTAAATAAAAGGGTAACTGAAAATAATATTAGGAAAAGAAAATGTTAAGACTAGCAAATCAGAATAATATAAAAATGAAACTTTAAAAAATTAAGTGCCACTAAATAAAGCAGTAAAATCATCTAAAAAAGATTGAAGGGTTGTAGATTTCACTTACAAATAAGCCTCTGACAAATCCAGCAGAGATATAACAACTAATAAGAACAAAACAAATTACAAAAATTCATTAGTTAAATAAATAACATTTCATTCACCAGGAAACAAATAGTTTGCTTTTTTTAAAATTTAAGTTCTATCTCAGGTTGAGGTGTAACTCAAATCAATTTTGAATTGTTTTCAGTTCAGGTCAATTGAGATTTACATAAGGCACGTCATCCATTGCATGGTAGGATCATGCATGAAAGTAGATCTGTGTTTACTGTAGCTATCAGCAGTATACACCCTGAAGTAAGTGAAACAGAAGATATCAGGTGCATGTTCCTGGTTGTCTCAGAATTATTTTAGTGCCTATTATCTCTATCTTTTAAATCATTGAAAGTAAAATGCAGAACATCAAGTCTGTGTGGAGCAGGGATTAATACTGTTTCACGTTTTGAGTGCTATTGTTCAGTCTGGATCTTTTTTCCCTTCTACCCAAACAGGCCAAAGTTTTAAGTCATTAAATCCTACCAGATTCTGGCAGTTTTACAAATATACCAAAGATTCTGCAAAAATATCAAAATCTCATGAGATTTGATGACTTCGAGAGATTAAAATCTTACTTATTGGGGAGGTTGTAGATTATTGCAGGGTGTGTGTGTGTGGGATATTTTAGTTCCTGTGGGTGTTTTGCCAGTCTGTTGGTATCCTACCCCATCCCCATTTTAAAAAACGACAACTTATGTTTTTTAAGGATGTTCAAGTTTTCTTTGTGTTTGTTAAAAAAAAGCAATACAGATCTGTAGACAGTACTATGAAGCTGAATGCAAGTTATTCAAAAGGGGAAATTGCTGCCCATTTACAGTACTGCAAGCCTGTCTTCAGAGTTGAGAATGAACATAAATTCATTCTGTAAATTATGTGCAAGTCGCTGGCTTTCAGTCTTGCTCTTCCTGGCCAATAATGCCAGGTTCAGATAGGAGCATTGGTTATGACCAAGAGGAGTCATAACTTTTGCCTTGGATATCCACTTTATTTTTTAAAAACTGAAAATAGAATGAAAATATATTTTACAGTGCCATTATGCTTTTTGCAGCTGATAATGTATCAAGAATGTTTAGCTGCCCCCAGAAGAAAGCTGCTCATGATTATCAAATGTTTATTTCAGGAAATTCCAGGCATTCTTGACTGTACTCTCACACAAGCAGTAGAAAAGATTAATCCTGAAGAAAGAGAAGAATTGAAAGTTTCAGGTAAAAATCAGTTTTGTGCTTAATGTTGCAGAAATATGAATAATCAGACCTAGCTTTACTTGTAAAGTCCTTGGGTACTGTGCATCAAAACTTGATTGAAATGGATGTTCATTTGGTGAATGGAAATTGTATTTGATTTAGTTATCATGAGTAGTAATATGCCTACATACTAGTTGCATTTCCATATAACATTAAATCAAAGTTAAGGGTACAAAATGAGCTTGTGCAAGTTATCAGAACTGAAAATGATTTTGATAGGTCCTGTTAGTAGACTCAAAACAACAGAATAAATTTTAACAGAGACATATACATAGGAAACAGAAATCAAATGCATAGGTATAGGATGGGGTATGTCCAGGTTGGTAACAATATATGTGAAAAGTTACTTAGAATTATAATGGATCAAAAGCTGAATACACAAAATGATAATCAAAAGGGCAAATGCAATTCTAGACTGTGGCAATAGAATATTGTTTCCAAACTCTGAGAAGTAGCAGTTCTGAGCCCACACTTTAAGAAGAATTTGGACAAACTGAAACAGGTACAAAGAAGGTTAGAAAAAATATCCTAATGGTAAATGCAGTTTGACAGCGGAACCAATTATCTTTGGAGGTGGTTGGCTTCTCTCCATTAGATATGTTTAAGCAGAAACTTGATCAACATTTGTAAAGGATGCTTTAATTTATACTCCTGCATTGAGCAATGGTTGCATGAACCCTTTCAGCTCTATGACTCTGCAATTCTAATTCTTGGCTCTATAAAGCCCAAAGGTTTCTGCTTCCTTATAATTTACTGCAGTATGTAGCTAAATTCAAATTCAGGTAAGTGTCGGAAATAAGCTTAACCATAGTTTACTGCTTGAATGTGATACTAAATGGTGATGAATTAAAAATATATTTCTGATACTTCACAGTTATGTCAGTACAATGAACATGGTCTCAGGGCTCACACCGGTTCAGTCTCATAACACTAACAACTGTGTTTAACTGTACTTGGAAGCTACTAAACTTAGATGATATCCTTCCGCAAGACATAAGTTCTCAAAGGAGAAGATGACATTTCTGGGGAATGATGCACCACCGTAGAATAGTGCAGCAATCTTAGAATCCTGTATTAGTATAATTTTTTAAAATATCAAATGTGTATTTATATCTAAGAAACTACATCATGTGTTGTAGCTGCAGCTGTTTGGGACCTGTTGACAAAGTTGAGAAAATAATAGTCTATTTGCTGCCTGATCTGCTAGTAAAAAACAAGGCTTTTTAAATCTGCGCTGATGAGAGAATCTTAAATCAAGCTTTCACTGATGATTCTGTGAATTTACCTATCATGAAAATATCTGATGGCCATCATAAGTGAAAACAAAAAGTACTTCTCCGTGGCTATGTTCTAATCTAGATATAACACAGGTTGAGGAAAAGCAGAATGTTGTCTAGTGCTGTTGTTGAACTCATCAGATGTTTCAGAAGCCCACTGGCAAATATTTCTGTGGCTTTACATTCACAGAAATAATAATTAAGCTACTTGATTACCAGATGGATCTGAATGAACATGTCATATTAAATTGCTTTGAAATCTCCTAACATTCCTATTAACCAGCTTCGTAATAATGGAAACATTACCTAAAAACCTGTTTAAAAACATATATAGCAAGGAATGTGCCTTATTTCAGTACCCAAAAAGAAGGTAGCTCTCTGTTCCAGGTACAGGAAACCTTTCCACAGTTCATTGTCATTGATTACACTTTCCAGGGCTAATAGCAATTAAAGTCAACAACACCTGGAGATTCTAGGTTGTCTGTCCCTATTTGTTTTAGAATTAAATTTGGATAAGTAGTGGCATTAGGGAATGATTGTTTTTGAAAAGCTTAATGATAAACTGCTTTTTGCTTCAGATCTTATAGCACAAATATTTCTTTGCTGTGAATGCTAGGGCTGTGCAGCACTTCAGATTCAAAGGCCAGGGTGCTCACACAGTAGCTGTCAGCAACTCCTTAAAGCAGCGCTGTGTTTTCCAAAGATTGCTTGGCTGCTTCTGCAGCACAGTCCTGGGAAAAAGCCTGTTCAAAAGATTTAGGAAGTTATAGAGGGGCTGTAGGAACCTTCTTTTGTGTTCGAAGGCATGCCTTTGAATCCAAAGCAGTACCCAGTTCTACTGAATGTTATGTGTACACAAAAACAGCTTCAAGGAGAGGGAGAAGCAATCCATACTGTGTCTCTGATTAGTGGCTTTTTCAGCAGATGGTGTTTATAATTGCTGCAGTATTTTAGAGAGAGGGTGGAGGACTAAAAAAAGTCTGGGCTTTTCTCAACATACTTTAAGTAACTTATTTATCTTTTTAAAAGGATTTTCTGTCATGATACTAAAACATTCTGTGTAATGTTCTTTCTAAAAGTGTTCAAAAAGTATATACCGGAAATGTAAGTGGTTTGTTTTTATTTCCTTAGTGGTTAATTATGTTTATCTTTTCACTGTTACTAGCTAGCATACATGACACATAGAACTGCATTTATCTAGGGAGGTTTTTTTAAAAAGATAAGGAAACTTAAAATGTTGCATCATGGAATCTACACATTCGTTTTTCCTTTCAAAATAAAGCCCCATTCTTGCCCCCCAGTAGCAACTTTAGTAGTCTTTTTCCCAAAATTAATACCCTTAGTAATTTTTGTTAGTGTTATGGTCTAAGAGATTTCAGGTTTAGTTACTGTTTCATCCTTAATGTAATCTCTTGGACATTATGCTGAGGAATGGCTGAATGTTGCTGAATCTGGAGGAATTCGAGATTCCTCCAATTTAGTGTTCTCTAGGTATGGATGATTACCCTGTCTGCTGTAACAATGGGAATTGAAATCTACCGTATTAGGAACCAGGTTGGGCAGACTGTCTGCATCAATTCAGGAGAAGAGGTGTCACAATTATGTAGTATGTAGATGTTAACCACTTTTACTTAATTAACAAATCTTGTTTCTACAGTTCTTTCTATGGAGTAATAGACAACTTGAAATGTGCAACACTTCATATCATAGCTGAATTAATCCTCCCTAAAGCTTCCTCCTAGAACAGCATACATGGATGTATAATCTGATATCATAAACTGGAAAACTGGATCACTGGAAAGCCAAAGTGGCATTATGAATGTATCTTATGGAAGACCCACAAGAATTGGAGGTGTGGTGGAGTAACCGCATAGGATCATATGTTGATCTGGTTTGCACACAACACTAATCATTAGTTTGCTTACTTGTGGATTACAAAACAGATGGAACAGTAGGTTTAGGATGCCATATCCTGCCAGCCATACACTCTAATTCGAAAATCATAGTGGTTAAATTAAGATATTACCTAATGTGGCTTGTCTGATTTTTGCTTATTCTGCCAGTGAGACTGATCACCTGTTTATCTCAGTATTGTGTACAATATTTTGCTGGGCTGGATTCAGATTTTTCCCTGCCTTTCATTGAAGAGAACTTTTTTTTACTTTTTAGGAAAGGAACTCTTTTTTTTTTTTTTACAAAGGAACTTTTTTTTTTGCAAAGATTGTGTATGCCACTGAAAAATATCCCTCAGTTCATCTTGAGCATTTATTTTTAAATAGCCAGAAAAACATAATCTTTCATTTTGCCTGCCTGCCTTGTTAACTGTAGCCTTTTCATTTTCAGCAAAGCTCTTTGTCACAAGATCAAACTC